AAATTTCTGAAAATGAAAAAGCACACTAAAAACACACAAGGCAAAGATATACACATATTTTCAATGTATTTATTATTATGGTGTTTATTGTTACTATGTTATTTAAAAAAATATTTTTTTTGGAGTCCTAAGGAGCAGTGTTGTTACAAGGTCTTCTAGCTCCCAGAGCAAAGATGTCAAACGACGACCCCCCCCCCCCAATGTATGTATGAGCATTATGTGTCAGTAATTACCCTCAAGCATAAATTCCCTTTGCAAGCAAAAGTCCACCCCAAACACAAATTGCCCTTCTTCCAGTACAAATCCCCCCCCCCCCCCGACCAACCCCCTCCCAGTTCAAATCCTCTCCCTCCCCATATCCTCCCTCATAGAAAAGCTCCTCTATCCTTCAAATTTCCCCTCTGAGCATAAATCCTCTCCCCTCCTCAAAATTCCCCTCCTAGCACAAATACCACCCCCCCAAATTCCCCTCCTAGCACAAATACCCCCCCAATCATCACTACTAGCACAAATCCACCCACCAATCCCCCTTCCTAACACAAATTCCGTTCCTAGCACAGATTCCGCTTTCCCATCCCAGCACAAATCCCCCTAAATAACCCATTCTAACAGTCCTCCTTCCTGTCAGCTCGGGCACACTGCCGTGGATGGCACAGCACAGCCATCCACAACAGTGTGATTACAGTGAATCACACACATCGCGCTCCCTAGTAAAACACTTCCAGCACACTGTTAACCCTTTGATCGCCCCTCATATTAACCCCTTCCTGCCCAGTGCCACTAGTACAGTGCCAGTGCTTTTTTTTTTAGCACTGATCACTGTATTGGGGTTGCTGGGGATGATGTCAGTGACACCAAGTCAGTTTCCCCCAGTGTCAGAATGTCTGCTGCAGTCCTGCTATAAGTCGCTAATCGCTGCATTATTAGTAAAAAAAAACAAAAAATTCCAGTATATATACCGCCATTTGTAAATGCTATAACTTTCACACAGACCAATTAATTTACACGTATTCGGATTTTTTTAGCAAAGATGTAGCAGAATACATTTTGGTGTAAATGTATGACAAAATTTGATTTTTAAATTTTTTTACTGGATATGTTTATGAGCAAAAAGTCAAACATATTGTTTTTTTCTCAAAATTGTCAGTCTTTTTTTTTATAGCACAAAAAATAAAAACCGCACAGGTGATCAAATACCACCGAAAGAAAGCTCAATTCATGGGAAAAAAGGATGTATGCATGAGCACGCAATTGTCAGTTAAAGTACCACAGCGCCGTAACGCAAAAAATGGCCTGGTCAGGAAGGGGGGGGGAGTGGTTAATGAAACATGTAAACAACTAGAACCTGGAAGCTGATTGGTTGCTTTGGGCAACAATACATTTTCTTCAACATGCCTTTCATACTTCAGCACCATAATCTCTAAATGAGTTACGCCATAAATTCTGTTTCTGTGCACATGTATATTGATTGCACTATATAATACAGTAAAAACCTGCGAGTCTGTATGTGATATCAACACAAAAATAGTGAAGCGCTAAAGTGAATCCCTATATACAGTGCATATAACATAGACGAAAAAAGACCTCATAAATAAAATAAATCTGTGGTATAAAATAATAAATAAATCAATAAAAAAATCAATAAAAAAATAGAAAAAAATAGAGAAAAAAAAAAAAAAAAATCTTTCCTTGCCCTTAAATGTTTCTTCAAATCAATCAGTGATAAAAAATAGAAAATCCATAATAATGCGAATAAACAGTGATACAAAAATAAAATCTGTGTTAATTAATATTCAAAAAGGAATATATATATATAAGTGATAATTCCAATGATATATGTGACAACCTAACAGAATATAAATAAAAATTCATAAATTGTGATTCTCAATCAAATAAACGTGATTAATATTAATTGTGAAAAAACCAAACATTAAACTATTAAATAAATGATCCACTAAATCTTGTGATGTTTAAATATGAAAATGTGTCCACAAATGAACAAAAACAGTCCATGCAATAAGGTGAAAACGACACTCAGTGTTCTTCACTTCTAGTGCTCAAAACAGAAGAAATCCTCCAATGGCAGCAATGCCTGCTCACCTCCCCAACTCGACCCGCAAAGGGCCACAAGGCTATAACTCTCCTCCAGGTAATCCTTTGCTTCCAAGCAGCTCAGTAAGGAATCACAGGACCTCCACTCTACCTCCTCTCAAACGTCATATAGGACACAAACAGAGCTTCCCATAGTGTAATACCGTTTATTTAAGACACTCATATAACATACTGTTTCCACTCACATGCGTTTTCTTAATGAAAAATGCAATCCTCCTCATTCCCTGGGTGCATTCACATGTAAATAGGGAAACCAATAATGGCCGCTGTGCTCGGACATCCGTCCCCACGTGACCGGAAGTGATGTGTCTCTTGGCTGGGAAAAGCGTTCCGACGCGTTTGCGTCACGTGCGTCGTGACTTCATCAGGGTACCCTGATGAAGTCACGACGCACGTGACGCAACGCGTCGGAACGCTTTTCCCAGCCAAAGACACATCACTTCCGGTCACGTGGGGACGGATGTCCGAGCACAGCGGCCATATTGGCTTCCCTATTTACATGTGAATGCACCCAGGGAATGAGGAGGATTGCATTTTTCATTAAGAAAACGCATGTGAGTGGAAACAGTATGTTATATGGAGTGTCTTAAATAAACGGTATTACACTATGGGAAGCTCTGTTTGTGTCCTATATGACGTTTGAGAGGAGGTGGAGTGGAGGTCCTGTGATTCCTTACTGAGCTGCTTGGAAGCAAAGGATTACCTGGAGGAGAGTTATAGCCTTGTGGCCCTTTGCGGGTCGAGTTGGGGAGGTGAGCAGGCATTGCTGCCATTGGAGGATTTCTTCTGTTTTGAGCACTAGAAGTGAAGAACACTGAGTGTCGTTTTCACCTTATTGCATGGACTGTTTTTGTTCATTTGTGGACACATTTTCATATTTAAACATCACAAGATTTAGTGGATCATTTATTTAATAGTTTAATGTTTGGTTTTTTCACAATTAATATTAATCACGTTTATTTGATTGAGAATCACAATTTATGAATTTTTATTTATATTCTGTTAGGTTGTCCAACATATATCATTGGAATTATCACTTATATTTATATATTCCTTTTTGAATATTAATTAACACAGATTTTATTTTTGTATCACTGTTTATTCGCATTATTATGGATTTTCTATTTTTTATCACTGATTGATTTGAAGAAACATTTAAGGGCAAGGAAAGATTTTTTCTCCTATATTTTTTATTGATTTTTTTATTGATTTATTTATTATTTTATACCACAGATTTATTTTATTTATGAGGTATGTTTTTCGTCTAATGTTATATGCACTGTGTGTGTATATTAGGGATTCACTTTAGCGCTTCACTATTTTTGTGTTTGATACTTTAATACTTATTGGTTAAGGCAGAGTGATAGCAGCTGTTAGGATAGGGACTTATCCATATTAAGCGCAGGAGGATATTCCCATTCTGTATGTGATTGCATTCATAAGAATACAAAAGAGTCTGCAAATAGAAATGTTTGTGTCAAAACAAGTTTTAGGTTATTTTTACAATATTTAGTAAAACTAGATGATTGAATCACTTTTCTTTTCTGAAATCATAACTTTTGTTTTGTATTTTAAATACGTTCCTTTAATATTTCAAGTCTGGAACACAAAAATGTGGGCATCTTAACAAGTATATATATTCGCGACGGTAAAAAACATTCCAGGCATTTTTCTGAAAATGAGATTTGCAGATGGGAGCAAAGCCAAGACTGTGAATGTCAGGATATTTTTGTTTGAATCTTGGCGCCTTTTTGAAAGGGATATAAGCACACTGAGACAGTTGCGGGAGGGAGAAGGAGGGCTTGGTAGTGTAATCATGCCAAGGGGAGGGCTCGGAAGAAAACCATTTAATTGCCAGATCGATTAGAGACTGTTGTTTTACAACAGGGAAACAATTATGTGTTGCTAAGCTCAATGTTTCCTGCTGGCAGGTGTTTTATTAAACATGATTGACTGCAAGTGAACTACGCAGACCCAAGTTATAGAAAAGCCAAATGTTTTGGTTGGCGTGAATTGTGGTTCATTTCCAAATCCTTCTACCAACTGTTTCACTACAAAACTGTGCAGCTGTGGCAGAAGTAGCAGCGCTTCTGCTATCAGATCTGGGTATTTTATTGTGAGTCCCGTCCTTGCAATTACTGTAGTACTGTGTTCGGTACACCTGGTATGACACAAGTGAAATCAAAACTGCATACTTGTTCCAGGTCAATGACTCGGAAAGTAATGGAACCAATAAATCAGCACAATAGCATGGCATTCTCAGAAGATGACATCTCACGTTTTTTTTCTTAGCGCAGGTTTTCTGTAATGTAAATAATCCGAAATGTTAGTGTTTTTTTTTAGGGTATAGTTTTTATGAATATATATTGATCTTTGTAAAGTTATTTTTTTATTACAAGTACTTATATATATCACTGTAAATTTGACATACCATATTTTTCGCTCCATAAGACGCACATTTTTCCCCCCAAAAAGGGGGAAATGTCAGTGCATCTTATGGAGCGAATGTGAAGCGGCCGGTCCGGTATTTCTGCCGCCACCATGTCAGAATATCGGGCCGGCCGCTCAGCTCTTCTCTCCTGCAGGACCTTACCTGTTCCTCTGTCCAGCGCTGCAGTTTTCCCGCGCCGGCTTCTGTGACAGCCGGGTGCCCACAGCGCATGCGCGAGAAGCGCTGCTCTTTGTGAATGGTCCGGCGTCTTCTGAGACACATGACAGGTCCCAGAAGGCTCCGGGCCATTCACAATGCGCAGCGCTTCTCGCGCATGCGCAGTGGGCACCCGGCTGTCACAGAAGCCGCCGCGGGAAGAAGCAAGAAGGAATACTCCGCAGAAGTGGGAGCGGGTACCTGTCAAATTCTGGTACCCGTTCCCCCTCCCTCCCCAAAGGTCCGCAGTCTCTGGTAATCTCCTTTACTGCCTGCAGTCTCTGGTCATCTGTACTATGTCCACAGTCTCTGGTCATTCCCTGTACTATGTCCGCAGTCTCTGGCCATCTCCTGTACTATGTCCGCAGTCTCTGGCCATCTCCTGTACTGTGTCCGCAGTCTCTGGTCATCTCCTGTACTATGTCCGCAGTCTCTGGTCATCTCCTGTACTATGTCCGCAGACTCTGGCCATCTCCTGTACTGTGTCCGCAGTCTCTGGCCATCTCCTGTACTGTGTCCGCAGTCTCTGGCCATCTCCTGTACTGTGTCCGCAGTCTCTGGTCATCTCCTGTACTGTGTCCGCAGTCTCTGGTCATCTCCTGTACTGTGTCCGCAGTCTCTGGTCAACTCCTGTACTGTGTCCCACAGTCTCTGGTCATCTCCTGTACTATGTCCGCAGTCTCTGGTCATCTCCTGTACTATGTCCGCAGTCTCTGGTCATCTCCTGTACTGTGTCCGCAGTCTCTGGCCATCTCCTGTACTGTGTCCGCAGTCTCTGGTCATCTCCTGTACTATGTCCGCAGTCTCTGGTCATCTCCTGTACTATGTCCGCAGTCTCTGGTCATCTCCTGTACTATGTCCGCAGTCTCTGGCCATCTCCTGTCCTGTGTCCGCAGACTCTGGTCATCTCCTGTACTGTGTCCGCAGTCTCTGGCCATCTCCTGTACTGTGTCCGCAGTCTCTGGTCATCTCCTGTACTGTGTCCGCAGTCTCTGGTCATCTCCTGTACTGTGTCCGCAGTCTCTGGTCACCTCCTGTACTGTGTCCGCAGTCTCTGGTCATACCCTGTACTGTGTCCCCAGTCTCTGGTCGTCCCCTGTACTGTGTCTGCAGTCCATTGGTTCAGAATATTTTTTTTCTTGTTTTTCTCTTCTAAAACCTAGGCGCGTCTTATGGTCAGGTGCGTCTTATGGAGCGAAAAATACGGTATATATTGTACACAGGGCTGTGGATAAGGGGGTATCACCAGTCCTCCTGTACGGGGCTCAGGCAGCTGGTGTTAAATAGGATGTGGGCAGGGAGGGTGATCGGCACAGCGGGGGGCAATTACAGCCAGCTGATATCCGGCTTGTTCTCTCCCGCGGCTTTTAGCTGCAGTAGAGAGAGCTATACAGGGGATCGGTTACACAAATTGGCCAAACCCCCCCCACCACACCCATCATCCTCCCTGTGCACAATACGTTTCTCCTGCTGCCTAGGCCCCTCACCCTTGCAATGCTGCTGGCTTTCCTCCTCTCCTTCCCACCAGCAGCTGCAAGCACACTGCAATAGGATCCTTCAGGATGGAGAATGGAGGAAGTATCCAGTTTACCAGCCACTTCCTTTCCTGAATGAATACAGCTAGTGATCAGTACCCATCACATACTTTGTTCATTCATAACTGAAGCATAGTAAACTGTGTTTTTTTTTTTTTTGGGGAAGGGGGCCCTGTCAGGTTGGCTGTATGGGGCCATGTGGTTTCTAACAGCAGCCCTGATTGTACATTCACATCAGTCCCTAATTCTCAAGGAGCTTACAATCTAAGGTCCCTAACTCACATTCATGCATACACATACTAGGGCCAATTTAGACAGGAGCCTGCTTGAGTTACTTACCTACCAGCATGTCTTTGGAGTGTGAGAGGAAACAGGAGCACCTGGAGAAAAGTCAGAGGAAACCTATGCAAGCACAAGGAGAATATGCAAACACCGTGCAGGTGGTGCTGTGGTTGGGATTCAAACCAACAACAATAGTGCTACCAAGCAAGAGTGTTAACCACTTTTCCACTGTGCTATACACAAATGGATAGCCACATTTTCTCACAACATGGGCAGCACAGGGCTAAATGGTTAGCACTTCCGCCTGGCAGTACTAGGGTCGTAGGTTTGAATCCCAACCACGACACCACCTGCTTGGAGTTTGCATGTTCTTCCTGTGCCTGCGTGGGTTTCCTCCGGGTACTCTGGTTACCTCCCTCACTCCAAAGACATGCTGGTAAGTTAAATGGATCCTGTCTAAATTGTCCCTAGTATATATATATATATATATATATATATATATGAATGTGAGTTAGGGACTTTTGATTGTATGTCCCTTGAGGGTTAGGGACTGATGTGAATGTACAATATATATATGTAAAGTAATTTCATATATTAGTGCCGAGCACCCTAATAATTTACTATGTGCAATATATAATATCAACAAAGTGCATCAATGATAGTTTTCTCAGCAATAGTCCTTTGTATGTGATAAATTCACATACAAAGGACTATTGCTGAGGAAACAATCATTGATGCACTTTGTTGATATTATATATTGCACATATTAATTATTAAGGTGCTAGGCACTAATATATGAAATTACTGTATTTTACACATGTAAGTGTCAGCAGCATTTCTAGAAAAAAAAGTGGTTGATAATTGCACTGAAGTTTTTTTGGGAAAATATATATGTAAAGCGCTGCGTAAATTGACGGCGCTATATAAGTACCTGTTATAAATAAATAAATGCCAACTAGCTAGTGCTGCATAATGACTATGCTTCAATGCCTAAAAGAGAAATATGGGATTTCGTTTCTTTTAAAAATCATATTTACCTAGGTGGATGCAGCATCCATCTGATACTGCATCAGTTCCCCGCCGGCTATACAGTTGCAAGAAAAAGTATGTGAACCCCTTGGGATTACGTGGAGTTTTGCATGAATTGGGCATAAAATGTGCTCTGAACGTCATTCAAGTCACAACAATTGAAGAACACAGTCTGCTGAATATAATACTACACAAACATTAGATGTTGCCATGGTTTAATTGCACATAACATGTAAACATTCACAGTGCAGGGAGGAAAAAGTATGTGAAGCCCTAGCTTAATGACTTCTCCCAGAGCTAATTGGAGCCAGGAATGAGCCAACCTTGACTCCAATCAGTGTGATGATATTGGATGTGTTGCTGACAGCTGTCCTGCCCTTAAAAAACACACACCTGTTTTGGGTTTACTGGTTTCAAGAAGCACTGTCTGATGTGAAGCATGACTCGCAGAAAAGAGCTCTCAGAAGACCTACGTTCAAGAATTGTTGACTTGCATGAAGCTGGAAAGGGTTACAAAAGTATCTCCAAAAGCCTTGATGTTCATGTGTCCACGGTAAGACAGACTGTCTACAAATGGAGAAAGTTTAGCACTGTTGCTACTCTCCCTAGGCGTGGTCGTCCTGTAAAAATGACTGCAAGAGCACAGTGCAGAATGCTGCATAAGGTAAAGAAGAATCCCAGATTGTCAGCTAAAGACCTACAGAAATCTCTGGCCCAAGCTAACATTTTTGTTGACACATCTACAACAAGGAAAACATTAAACAAGAATGGAGTACATGGGAGGACACCACGGAGGAAGCCATTGCTGTCCAAAAAGAATATTGCAGCAAGTTTGAAGTTTGCAAAAGAGCACCTGGATGTTCCACAGCACTACTGGCAAAATATACTGTAGACAGATGAAACCAAGATTGAGTTGTTTGGGAAGAACACACAACACTATGTGTGGAGAAAAAAAGGCACAGCACACCAACATCTCATCCCCACTGTAAAACATGGCGGAGGAAGCATCATGGTTTGGGGCTGCTTTGCTGCCTCAGGGCCTGGACGGATTGTTGTCATTGATGGGAAAATGAATTCCAGAGTTTATCAAGACATTTTGCAGGAAAACGTACGACCATCTGTCCGCCAACTGAAGCTGCCGCAGAGGATGGGTGATGCAACAGGACAATGACCCAAAGCATACAAGTAATTCAACAAAACAATGGCTGCAACAGCACAGAATACGCCTTCTGGAGTGGCTCAGTCAGAGTCCTGACCTCAACCCGATTGAAATGCTGTGGCATGACCTTTAAGAGAGCGATTCACACCAGACATCCCAAGAATATTGCGACACTGAAACAGTTTTATGAAGAGGAGTGTCCAAAATTACTCCAGATCGTTGTGCAGGTCTGATCTGCAACTACAGGAAACGTTTGGTTGAGGTTATTGCTGCCAAAGGAGGGTCAACCAGTTATTAAGTCCAAAGGTTCACATACTTTTTCCTCCCTGCACTGTGAATATTTACATGTTATGTGCAATTAAAACCATGGCAACATCTAATGTTTGTGTAGTATTATGTTCAGCAGACTGTGGTCTTCTATTGTTGTGACTTAGATGACGTTCAGAGCACATTTTATGCCCAATTCATGCAAAACTCCACGTAATCCCAAGGGGTTCACATACTTTTTCTTGCAACTGTAAGTGTGAGAACTCTGAGATCACATGACCGCTGATCACTGAGTTCTCACAGCCACTTTGAGCAGAGAGCGGTGACTGTCAGTCACCGCTCTCTGCTCTGCCCCCCTGTGCTCACTGGAGCTCTGGGCTGTGGAGGGGGAGGGAGCGGGTGGCTCGAAATCTCTGAAAGGATGAGCCAGGTGCCGCTCCAGACTCTGGGGTGGATCCTGACTTTAAAATCGGGATCTTTCCCCAGCCTAGACTGGCTGAGTGACGTCAGCCGACAACGGGCTTCAGCCTGTTGTCAGCTGAAAACGGGTCACAGGAGTGGAGAACAAACTGCGCCCCTGTGATCCACAGGAGAAGTACATCCAATAGAGCTTTGCTGTACTTCTTTAATTTCTTAACAGAAGTCTATGGATCAGAGTTAACTAAAAACAGTAAAATCTCTATCAGCCTAAAAAATATTCTGACAGATAATAAAGTAACCCCATTACCTGAGTTATTTAAAAAAAAAGGCCAGGCCTGCAGAAATAAAGCCCATTTATGCTTACCTTTTTGGCCACCCATGTCTTCCAACGTTACTGCAAGCACTGCTTCCTTCTTCCATGATGGGCTTTAAGCTTTAAGCATAGTTTCAGTGTTTGCTGAATATCTGTATATTACATACAATAATCAAAATATGAAACACCAAGGTACAAATGTGAAAGCCAAATCAAAATGTATGTGTTACAAAAATTTCAAAATATGTAGCTTCTAAAAATACATTTAGTTGCTGTTTAAGGTGAA